GCACAATTTTGCCACTTTATTCATGGGTTAATGTCGGGATCATGCTGAATTAGCCCAATGTCATCTGAAAACAATCTAGCTTTTGTGGGATATTCCCGGATTTAAACCCCATTTATCCACGGGATTTAGGCGCTTCCTTCCCACGTGACAAATTCCATAGATTTGGAAGGGATCTCTAAGGGCCATCCACCCCAACTCCCTTCTGCCATGCAGGAATACACAATCAAAGCACTTCAAACAGATGGCCATCTAGCTTCTGTTGAAAAACCTCCAAAGGAGGAGACTCCACCTTATTGGATATTGAGTGATTTAGTTGGATACTTTTCCCATTGCTTTGCAGTTTGAAGCTAGGAAAAAAATAGGAAGGCAGAGAAGGGACGGAATTTACTCTGTTGCTAATCTGTTTGTAAAGTTCTCATAGCTGTTGGAGGGAAATGGGTCACGTTTGCACACTTTGATTTTATTTGGCTCCTTCGTTAGGCAGAGAACTCTGAATTTTTAAAGAAGCCTTTTAAAGTGTTTTTGCATTAGGAAAACATTTTTAAGTGCTGTTTAGTAAAACATGCCAAATGTAGTCTAGTTTTGGGTTTTTTTTTTAAGTGTTTTACTTTTGTTGGAGGTATAAATCCCAAAGGACCTTTGCAGACTGGCAGAAATAGTGCAGATTGAGTCCACTATAAGGGTTAGGGTTAGTGCTAGGGAATCATAGGAATTGGTTTTTTTCTGAGACATTGAGCCTTCTCTGTCAGAGAGCTCTGGTGCCACAATAAAATACAGTTCCCATGATTCCCTAACCCTAACCCTTAAAGTGGACTCAATTTGCAATATTTCTAGCAGTCTGCAAAGGGCCAAAGAGAGGGTCAGTGGACTGGGACCCATCTACCTCTAAAAAGTAATGCTCCCCAGCATCCTATTCCATATCACAGAACCACATCCCCCAAATTATCAAGACCAATGCAGTGTTTCCCAAACTTTGGTCCTCCAGATGTTTTGGACATCGGCTCCCAGAATTCCTGAGTGTTGTCTAGGCTAGCTGGGGCCTCTGGGAGTTGAAGTCCCAAACATCTGGACGATCAAAGTTTGGGAAACACTGCGTCAGACATTCCTGGCTTTTCCATTTGCTGGGGAACATTATTTGTTGGCGGTAGAACCCTCAAATGATCAAGTCCCAGTCCATTGTCCCTCTGTTTAGCTTTCCTAAAGGTATTGCAGGGTCACTTCCAATTATCTCAAAACAGATCCACAAAACCATTTCCCGCAAAATCAGAAGATAATTCTCCTGAGCCTCTCTCTGAGGCATTAAAAGTCATGAGGATGATGTCACATAAAAGTAGATAAGAGACCCAAAACAGACATCCGTTTTTGATGTGTAATCCTTTCAAGATACAGGCAGCAAGATTGATGCCGCAAGCAGAAAGTCTTAAATCTGACATACCTTGAACTGTCAGCGGTGTTGTCACAATCTGATCATTTTGTGTTTTTTTTAAAAAGTCTTGCTTCTGTTTCACATCATCTTCATCTAGTGAGGTTTTTAATATATTTCAAATAAGATTGTTGCTGTGCTCTTTCAAGTCATTTCCAACTTATGGTGACCCTACCACATGGTTTTATTGGCAAGAATTGTTCATAGGGTGTTGACCTTGCCTTCCTCTGAGGCTGAGAGTGTGTGACTTGCCCAAGGTCACCTAGTGGGCTCCCATGGTTGGACGAGGATTCAAACCCTGGTCTCCAGAGTCCTAGTCCAAGGCTCAAACCACAACACCACAATGGTGCTCACATAAAACACTTGATTGTAAAAAGATAGTGTGTGTGTCCTCAAAACAAAGTAGACTTTACAAAAGCTCATGCTGCCAATTTCTTTCTTTCAGTTAGTCTCAGCTGCAAGATCTCTCTACAGTTATTATTATTATTATTATTATTATTATTATTATTATTCATTTTCATAGTCAATCAAGTGTGATCAACCGACATTTTGGACAATCAATGATTCAGATACTATCAAAGAATCTGGAAATCAGTGAGATATCATTAGATAATCATAGAATCATAGATTGCTCCTAAAGCTGAGGAATGAATGGAAGGGAGCATTCTTTCTTGAGGAAAGGGCCATGTGAAAGATGAGAAATATGCTACCTGCCAACCTCTTTGGATATTTAAAAAAAGGAGGCATACATACATACATACATACGAGAAAGAGCAACAATTGCAGAACCAGCTCCTCCATAATCCTATAAAAGACTTGAAGTGGGCCTCTCTCAGACAGGTAGCTTATGAGCCTACTCTTTCACAAAAGCTTCAAAAACTTATAAGCCCTCCAGGATGCCATAAAAAGAAGAAGGAGGTGCCATCTCTCCAAAAACAGAGGAAGGAAAAAATTCCAAGCAAGGAAGACCAGAAGGAGGCACAAAAATTCTGTAACCATCCAGCCAGGAAAAGAAGGGGGGGGG